GATCCCCTCGTCCAGATCATTGATAAAGATATTAAACAGAACTGGCCCCAGTACTGAGCCCTGGGGAACACCATCTGAACATCTTATAAATCACACAAGTCCTCAGCATCCAAGAGACTACGTTTTACCCGTGTGCTGCAGTAGTTCTGTCCGCACGAAGTACATCAAACAGGTAGAGCTCCTTCAGAAGCCTCTCGCTCTCTTCTGCAGCTTCTTCGGGCTGAACATCTTTTAAATCACACAAGTCCTCAGCATCCAAGAGACTACGTTTTACCCGTGTGCTGCAGTAGTTCTGTCCGCACGAAGTACATCAAACAGGTAGAGCTCCTTCAGAAGCCTCTCGCTCTCTTCTGCAGCTTCTTCGGGAGACGGTGCCTGTAACCAGACATATGCATGTAGCACACAGACACAATACAGCTGCGCTGAGGGAACCATTACTTGCTGTCTGGTGTTTGAGTTGTAATGATCACAGAGTGACCTCAGAACTAGCAAAGACCACATACAAGAAGTAACAGTCTCAGGAATTCTGAAGTTTAAAAAAAGTTTTTCAAGTAATTAAATTGAATCCCTTGGATTTTATGCCACCTCAGGAGAAATTCTCAGCAAATATACAGCTGTGACAACTCTCAAACTTCACACCTTGAAATCTCCATAGAGATCTTCTGTTGAAGGGGAGAACAAGCAGCTCAAGGGCTTTCTGTATAGTGAATATATTTACCTTATGGAAATATATATATCCTTGTGTCAGCTCATCTGATCCTTCTCCTGAAAAAATGACCACACTGTCTGTTTTCTTCCGTATATATTTGGAGACAAGATACATACCTTATAAAAAAAAAAAGTATAAAGTTATTAAAATACAGCTACATGTATGATGCTATATACAGCTAGTACAGTTTTAAATTTAGCATTATAGAAGTTTCTCTCCTACACTACTTTCTTCTGTAGCAAACAACTGCAATACACTAAAATAACATCTCATTGTTATTCAAAGCCATCAACAGCCACACAAACTAAGTGCTGCAAATACATCTAAACTGCGTACTTATACTTAGCCCTCAAAATATCAGAAATATGTGTGTCTGTGATCCTGGGAACGCTGGAGGATTCCCATGGGAACACATATAGGAGTTGCTCTGACTCAGTTCGAAATTGAGCACGTAATTCCAGCACAGTCCTGAACAAACCTTCTAGCTTTGGAGAACAAAACTACCAGCAAAAGTTGCTGCTTAACTCTCTGCCGTTGTGGGTTGAACTGGATGAAGCCCTTTTTTCAAATTTTTTTTAAAGAATTATTTATTAATCAAAATTATGCCTTCCCCCCATTACATCTTTCCAAACAACATGTTTTTATAACAAAAGTATTAGAGATCTAATGCAAAGGATCTAGTTCATTATTTCTTATACTAAGCCACAATCATGAAGAAAAATGACAGATGAAAAGTTGACTTTATTTTTTAAAGAAACACTTCCAATATTTCACAAACACTTTCAATACTTCACATTGCAAAGTCCTATCTTCATGTACCAAATTCCACTCAGGGACCTGGGTTTTCAAAACTGTGTTGCCTATTTGGCTTATTAACTTTTTTACAATGCTTTAAGCTGACACAAGATTAACTGGGTAAAATGTCATAGCTGGCATTACACAGAAGGTCACGTTAGATTAGGGTTTTTCATTCTTATCAGGTTGGCTGCCCTTTGTAAGGAGCTGCTGGTGACTTCCTTAATTTCTCAGAATCAAACATACATTATAAGAAGTCTACCTGGCTTGAGTGCACATGTGTTAGTAGAGGGTGACAAGAAATACTTAACTTTAGTATTAAAATTATGCAAGGAATAGGGTAATCATAACTATTTTGCTATCATAACATTCAGTACCTCGGATAACCTGTAAATTTTCCCCCTTCCTCCAAGGTTCATGCTTATCAGAGCAGAAAACCTAGACCTGTAGATCTAACATTTCTTCTTCATATAATTTTTGTTTTTCATCCCAAAGCTTCAGGAACAGCTCTTGACAATTGTTTTGTTCAGTCGGTGACTTTGAAACTAATAACTGTTTTTGCCTCAGTGTGGTATCGCAGACAAGACTGGGGAGCAGAACTTGGGAGTCCCAGTTCCCAGGTTCTGTGACAGCTAAAGGATCTAGCAGATGACTACATGATTTTGCATAAAATTTTATTTGGGTGATATAAAGCAAAGATTGCTATTAAAAAAAATCTTACCAATTGAAGCCCTTACTGTTGTTATATCATAGGTTTCCAAGGAGAAGATAACCTCCTCTATTGCCTGAATTCCCTCTTCGGAATTAAATATTACTTCATGATGTTCACTGCCTATATGTGCTGCCACCTGTTTGTAAAACGTCACAATAACATATTGCTTTTCAATTAAAACATTTTTTAAACATACATTGTGTTTAAAACACACGCTGAGTGAAAACACCAGCTCCCTTCTGCCACAGTGAGAATTACATGACATTAGGCCAAGAAAAGATAATACTGTAGCAGCCCCTCTGACTTGCAGTGGTACATTCACCAGAGGAAACATAGTCTCCCTAATTACAGTGCTCAATCATGATTACAACAGACCATCCAGCTGCTTGCCCAAAGCATAACAGAATCTGTAGAGGCTCTAAATACTCCGGATATTTGCCCTGAAGAGAAAAAGCAGCTCAAAAGCCATGACAGCCTGGATACCTAAAAGGTACCCCAGATGCCAAACAGTTTGTACAAGGCTCTTAATTCAGTAAACTGACAATTAACTTACAACATTTAACATATATACAAATGTCATAGCATAGGAACTATAGCATGGAGATTTACCCTAAAACCCAGAGGCAGAATTGAGACAACTCCAAAGTACCGACCTTTTGGTAACAATGCAATGGGGGTCTGTCATGAACGTCTTCCAAATGCAAGAGAAAACAGGTAAGGCTCAGTTATCTCTTTCGTAAGATTTAACTAAACAGCAAATGTTGTACTAAATGATCTACTGCAAACTGATTTACATCATAGCAATACATGAATATTCAGTATTACTATTAATACCGTACCGTGAAGTTAGCACCATTAATATACACTGTTTAGCATTCAGCAGCTCAGAACAAACTGAAAGCAACGCTTACTGTACCTTCCTGGCAGCCAGTAAGTCGGGGCTGTTTTCCATTCCAATTGCAAAGGTTTGTAATGGATAATTGATGTTGATTTCTTTCATCAGTTTCAGAAGAACAGCTGCAACCAAGCTGGAATCTAAGCCCCCTGCCAACAAAACAAATTATTTGATTAGGTGTTTGACTGGTTTTTTGTTTCCTCTTAAGGACACTGAGTCTAGATAGCGGAATCTCATGAGTGGACTTCATTTGTAAGCCATGTGAATCAAAGGTACTTCTTGTACAAATGCCCATTTACCTCTGCTTAACAAGAGAATCGGGCAACTTTAGTGGAACATCTTCAGTAACAGTTGTTAGTACTTTTGGTCTCAGAAGCATCAGTGGAAATCCTTCTTTAAGATACACAGGAAATGTTCTGAAAACATTGTACCACTACAGAACATGCCGCTTCTCACCTCTGCTGTAATGGGATTTATTCTCTATTTCAAAACTACTCTCTATCCTCTTCTTACCTACACATTTGATTCTCTACTGACAGAACTATGTATATTTTTTTTTTTCTGTTTGTATAAAAAAGAATTAAGTAAAAGAACAGAACGTTTAGTGTAAGGATTCCACTCTTCCCCAATCATTTTTCAAAAGTGTGTTTCACACATTTTGAGTGGAATTAATTTTTTAACCATCCCTTCAAAGTGAAAAGGTTCACTAGTGACATTCTTTTTTTTTTTTTTTTTTGACTCTTCTTCTTTCTCAGAGGAGGACAGTGGAAGGATTTGAACAGTTTGGAAAACAAACAAAAAATAAAACCAAGAGATGCACAAAGTGCCCAGATGTACTCTAAGGCTCCACCTTCTTATTCTCATGAGCTAGTTCTGTTAATCTTTGACTTGCTGCTCCCCTTTGAAGTACTGAGCAAAACACAGTACCTGTTCTCCCACACCTGCCTGCATTTCTGACAAGCATGAGGCAAAATCCTCTTCTCTTTGTTTCCTATAGTCTGCATGTAGTTTTTCAACTGAGTGCGTTAGCAACCATTCCCACCTTGATCCCCTTTGTGGGCATGCTACCTTGTAAAAAAAAAAATCTCCTTCTGTAGAAATTACATGCAGAGTCTGAGAAAAGGAGAGCACAGAAATCAAACTGAGTGCTTAGGATGCGGAAATCAGGGAAATCAAAACCTGAGTTTCCATTGTGAAGTTGCAGAACTCCCTCCATGATTGGAAACAAAAGCAATTCTCCAACCGTGATGCTCCAAGCATACTCAAAATTGTGAAGCACTGAGATACCCTGGTATTATACCAGCACGGGCACTTAGTTTTGCTACTAATACATTCTGCATGTGCATCTAAGGAGCTGCTGACTACCTTCTAATTTGATATCCGAAATTTGGGTTTTGAACAGGCTTTTTACTGAGGCTGGGATCTTCCAAGTCTGCGTATCTCCCTGTTTCATTTACCTCCCTCCTACTTTTTATGATGCCACAGTAAGGAAATGGTCCAACAGTATCTCCTAGTCAGTTCTCTCTCATTTAAATGCACATTTAATAGGGTTCATGATAAATGAGTGTAATTACTGATATTCAAAGCCAACCATATCCTGGGCTGCATCAAAAGAAGCGTGGCCAGCAGGTCGAGGGAGGTGATTCTGCCCCTCTACTCTGCTCTGGGGAGACCCCACCTGGAGTACTGCGTCCAGCTCTGGAGCCCTCAGCAGAAGAAAGACATGGACCTGTTGGAGCGGGTCCAGAAGAGGGCCACAAAAATGATCAGGGGGATGGAACACCTCTCCTGTGAAGAAAGGCTGAGAGAGTTGGGGTTGTTCAGCCTAGAGAAGAGAAGGCTCCAGGGAGACCTTACTGTGGCCTTTCAATACTTAAAGGGGGCTTATAAGAAAGATAGGGACAGACTTTTTAGTAGGGCCTGTAGCAATAGAACAAGGGGCAATGGTTTTAAACTAAAAGAATGTAAATTCATGGTGAGATGCTGGCACAGGTCGCCCAGAGAGGTGGTAGATGCCCCATCCCTGGAAGTGTTCAAGGTCAGGCTGGATGGGGCTCACTCAGCGCACAGTGAATGTAGTAATTACATTTTCTTTTTGAACACCAACCTAAGCATAAATCTTATAAGTTTAAGAACATATTGGGTGATTTTTCAATAAGAGTATTGTTTTTCTTTCTTAGTCAAAAATGGTCAGTGTCTCAACAAGCCAACATCCCATCCCAGAGTAAACTTTAAAAGCGTAAGACTTAAGATACTTGTAAACTGGAAAACTTTATCACAAACTAACAAGTCCTCTGTAACTAAAAAGCAAATGAGATTCAGAGCACTTCAAGTACATCGCAGCAGAACAGCCGGCATACTTTCCTCTAACTGTTAGATTACGGGTGAAAGAGAGAGAAGACACAAGAATTGTGATTCTTGCTACTTACCTGACAAAAGACAACCAATCCTTCTGTGAGCCATCAAACGTTTTCTAACAGCATTTTCAAACAGAATACGGATGTTGCTTTTCACTGTTTCAAGATCAAAGCCTGTCCAGAAAAGAGGGGCGGGGGGGGAAATCCAAGAAGTGTTACTTAGACTTTGCTAGATTATGCGATTAGGAAAACAAAGATATTTGTCTGAATTTCCTTTGATAATGAGGGCATGCAAGTTCAAACATCTTTGTACATGACTGCCTACAAAAACAATTCTCAATTTCCTACATTATAAAGGTTCTTCCAGTTTTTTTTTAAATGGCACTTTTTTAAACCAATCAATACAAATTTTATATTCAAAGATTGTAATTTTTTCACTTTTTAATCAGAGTAAGTAGCAAATGCTTTGCCGTACTACCTGAAGGCAGAGTTTCCACTGTATCACATGCAGCATGGAGTGGTTCATCTTTATAGCTATGAAATTTTACTAATTCCACTGATGCAACCTTGCCAGAGGGCTTTAAATCCAACACTTCATAATGACCCGGGAGAAACGGTTCCACTTTAGGACATAAGGATGTTGAATGCTTTAAGTTGATAAGTCCTGCAGATAAAATGGGGGAAAAAAGTCAGAGTTTTTAACCTAGGATGGTTACATTAAACCTCACTCAACAGCCTCTGTACTAAAACTATATCCAAATATTTTCTCCAGATCCTAAATTTGGTATTAAAAAAATATCATTTTGAGTCTGAGTCTGCCCTGGCTGGAGCATGATTCCGCTTCTGGCAGGTTGCCCACATAGATCTGAGGCAGATAGCAGAGAAAGGAAGTCAGCAAGTTTTACTAACTGGTAAGTAGCAATTTATTCCTGTGAGAATTAAGAAGAGCACTTATTCTAACTGACTGCATGATGTCCAGGTCAAGGTGTAACATGCTTATGAGAATTCAAATGACAGTTAATAACTGATTTTGTGTTTAAAATTAAGTGTACTCAAGCTAACAAGCAGTTTGTAATAAAACTACATCACTGAAGTGATTGCTTAATTGACATTGATTTAGTGATTTCATAACTCATCGGTTCCAGACTGATCTACACCACTGCTAATGAATGCCAAGAATCAGACTTGTAGCCAAACCTCATTTCCATTCCTTTTGTGAAAGAGGATGTTTTGCACCTGCCGGTCACCTGGATGCCCCTTGAGGAACTCCACAAAAGAGATACTGAATTGCTGTTAGAGAGGGACCGGTAATTCACTTTGCTGGTTATAGGACACAGTCCCTAAAATGTTCACTTCCCTTCTTCCTTCCCAAGCAGCAGAGATGGTACAGCTCTTAGTACTACTGTTAGAGGAGTCAACCTACATCGGAGTCTGATAATAAAATTGATATACAGTAAATGGGAGAGACTCAAGTAATCGTGAAAGTCAATTTTAGCCAAAGTGAATTTTGGGCGAAAAACTCCCTTTTGGCACCATTTGGATTTGTTTATGCAAGTGTCAAAACCAGACATAATTACTTAAAAAAAAAAAAAAGTAGTGCACGTGTAATCTCAAAGGAAAAAAATCGTCATCAAATAAAATAAGTGTCACTAGAAAATCACCCAATGCTGCAGGAAATTTCAGCAAGGTTTTAAAGTTCTTGGCTTTTACAAATTAGCAGTTCTCGTGGCATTATTTCGCAGTTCACCATAGAACACCAGGAACAAATTCTAATATACTTAATCATAGCATAAATCTAGCCTAACTCCATAGACTACATTTAACTTTGGGGTAACATAAAATATCTTGGGCTCAATACTGCTATGATTCCAGAACACAAAGAATTATAAAATTAAATAAGCAACTTATTTTAGAGATATTAAGGACAATCAAACATCTTAGAGGTTTACTGTCTGTGGTTTTTGTTTTAATGATGTGTAGTTCTTATACTACTAAATATAGTTCATTTATTACTGAACTTACAGTTCACTTCCTCTTCACACTTAGAAGAAAAGCCTGGCAAAGAAGTTTGTCTCCGACAACAATACCTAAGATTATTTAGGCACTAAACACAACTGGTTTTACCTTTTGCCTCAGAACAGACACCCAAAAATCCATCATCAGTCAGCACCTTAAATAGTGGTCTGACTCCATAGGTATCTCTCGCCAGAAACACTTTTCTGTTGGCAGTGTCCAGAAGGATGAAAGCAAATACACCATCTAGCATGGATGCTGTTTGTTCTATTCCTCCTCTGTTGTAAAGATGAAGGATAACCTCACCATCCACTAATGTCTGATATTCAAACCCAAACTGCTTCTGCAACTAAGAAAAAATATAAAGAAAAACATGAATAAGCATTTGAAAACATTGACTGCTTATTAACTGAAAAAACAACACCATTCATGTAATTGTTTAATAAGAAAACCAAGGGGTTTTTTGTAAAATCACAGTTAAAAAGTTATAGGAACATTTCTGCCAAAGAAGGAAATTACACTTTTGTATTCAAAATATTATCATTTTTTGTAAAATCACAGTTAAAAACATTTCTGCCAAAGAAGAAAATTACACTTTTGTATTCAAAATATTATCCAGGATCATCTCTCAGACAATGTAGACTGACTCTGCAGTCTTAAGCAATTCACATTATGGCAAGTTTTCAGGGATACATTTCTATATGAGGATATCAAACTGCACACCCAGGACCCCGGGCTTCAGAAGCACTAGCCTCCCCATCTCCCACAGACAAATGGCAGAAGCAGGCAGCCACTGCTTCTAAAAATCCCACTCAAAATAGGACCAGAAACAAAGACATCATTTTTTTTAGTCTCAAATCACTCGGTGCCACTTTCTTCTCAGATAATAATGACATTTACATAAGCCCCCCACCCCAAAACACATAGACACTGGTAACATGTCTGCAAAGTACTTCAGAAATAAACTTTGATTTACTTATGCAGTCACTGCAATTCCTCAGTGGTTTTTTTATGCACAGAGAATTCCCTTCTGCCTAATCTTCCTCCATTCCTCAAACTAACCTTTTCACTCTGCCTGTGCAGATGGAGTGGGGGAGGAAGAAATTAGCTGTCAGACTTAAGTCAGACCAAATATTCTTCATGTTCTTTTTCAATAAAACACTAAAAAGCCAAGAAACCCCACGAAACCAATGCTTTAGCATTTTAACTTAAATTCTTTGGTTTTAATTGTTATTTATGGGGCAAAGTCTTGGATCAATTTCAGTCAAACAAAACGCCTGTTTCACCAATGATCCTTTCCTTGGTAGGTTTCAGCCACAAGCCTGAAAGAAAAATCTCTTTATAAAGAAAGAGGGTACACAATGTAGTGAGAACAACCAAACAAATTCCTGCTGATGGCAATGCAAGCTTTGCATAATTAAATTCCCCTTAGGATTGTGTGCGTTGCACGATTGAGAGTAATTCTTACAGCTTTCAACAGCAGAAAAACCACAATGCAAAACACAGCAAGTATTACAGACTGCTGGTACAATGCATTTCACATGGACTGCAGGGCAAAGTGTATCTCACATTTCAAACAGCCAGATACTTAAAAGACTGGGAAAAAAAATATATCTCCTGCCCATTCAGTCAAATTCCCAATGACGTTACTGATGTTACTGACATCACTGACAGCAGCCTGACTCTGACTTCAAAAATGTGATGTTAGAAGTACTAAGACATCTCAGATTATTCATACGTTTCTGATACTACCACGCTCAGTTTATGATTCATTTTAAGCACTCAGTTTCAGCATGATTCAGAAACAGTCACAATTGTAAGCTGCTTTATACGCCAAATTTGGATGATCTGAATCACTTCCCTTTACAAGTAACACAGGTGGCATTGGACATCTCAGCACAGGGACTGAGCACACAGATGATGTTCAGCAGCAGTATCACACCCATCAGGGACATTCAGACACTTCAGGAAGTAAGTACAGAGTTGCTGCCTGTTTTGTGCCCAAGAGACTTGCTTAGGTGGCTCTCAAAAACCCCACAAAGCATCTGCCTTAAGCTGCAGATACCTAAGGACTTTGGTGGCATACTGGAAACATCTCCCTAGTGCTTGTTGCTTTTACATAAATACATAAGCAAGCATGCTATACATTAATATATTATAAGTGACATATCCCATCTAGATTAACATGCAGAAATAAAAATGCAATACCCGACGGCTTGGAGAATGACCCCAAATAACTGAAGAGCAGGACAGTCCAAAAGCATCTGCATTATAAAGAGAGGAAAAGGGGAGGAAAAAGGTTTGGAATTCTCCTCCCCAGGAGATAACGAAGAATGCATCTTTATTTTAAACTGATCAAACCTGAAGACACGAATATTTATTGCCCTTCTTGTCAACTAAAAAGTGATTTTTCAGTATTAAAGACTAAGTATGTTACTATCTAAGCCACCACAGATTCAGACCTCAAGATAATTTACTTCCTTTTAAATACTAGCCATTTGATAACTTTTTAAAATATTTCTGATATTCTAATCCACCATGTTTCAAATATTTTCCCAATATCCACAAGTTTTGAAATAAAAAAAAAAAAAAAGGAAATGCCATATGATCCATACAACCATGTTTTAAATATTTTCCCCATATCCACAAGTTTTGAAATTAAAAAAAAAAAAGGAAATGCCATATGATCCATACAACACTCACCTGTTTGAAATTGTAGATTTCTCCATTGTAGCACAGCCACAGATATGGGAATTTCTTCACCCGGATAGGCTGCATGCCATATAACTGATCAACAACCGCGAGGCGGTGGAAACCAAAACAACAGTTGGTGAATCCATTGACGTTCTCGAAACGAAATGCATCAGGACCTCTGTGTGCTATCTTCATGGCACTTAGACACTGGACAGAAAGGCATTCATCGCTCCCAAACAGGGCCCAGATACCGCACATGGTGAGGCTGTTATCTACCTGAAAGTGGAGAACCTGTTCAATAAAGACATGAACATTATAAGCAAGAGCTGACACCTAGAAAAGACAGATAACAAATGTAGACTATTAATCGCTTAACTGTCAAGAGGACTGATCAAGAGAACAGCAGACTTTACTAACACAAGGTAAAATCTGGTTTGCCCAGAATATGATAAGCAACCTTTGGCCAGCAAGAAATTAGGCTTACGTTTACCTTTAGGTACACCAAGGTTGTCTGTGATTTTTTTTTATAGAGCACAAATAGAACAAATTATTACTGGGCACTGGGTATGACCTGTTGAAGTAACATAATCTCAGCAGAAACGTTAACAGTCCTTTCAGTTTGTGGCCTTTCAGTATAAAAAGGGGGCTTATAAGAAAGTCAGAGAGAGGCTTTTTACCAAGACCTGTAGTGACAGGACAAGGGGCAACAGTTTTAAACTGAAAGAGGGTAGGTTTAGACTGGACTTCCCCAGCACTGTGGGTGGCCCAGATGACAAAGAAAGGTGTGGAGGGAGCAATGCTGGTGCCGTGCCGTGCTCCCCTTGGCATGCCTTTTCCAGCCGCAGTGTCCCTGGAGATCTAGGCCTTGTAGCTCTCTGAACCCTAACTAATGGTAGAGGTAGGCTGAGGCTGGGGACCTACAGGTCAAGTGATGGCGCTGGAAAAGGCATGCCAAGGGGAGCACGGCACGGCACTAACATTGCTCCCTCCACACCTTTCTTTGTCATCTGGGCCACCCACAGTGCTGGGGAAGTCCAGTCTAAACCTACCCTCTTTCAGTTTAAAACTGTTGCCCCTTGTCCTGTCACTACAGGTCTTGGTAAAAAGCCTCTCTCTGACTTTCTTATAAGCCCCCTTTTTATACTGAAAGGCCACAAACTGAAAGGACTGTAGCTGGGGCTAACAGGCGATGGCAGGCGCCCGGGGCAGCTTCCCTCCGCGCCGCGTCTCATGGGGGCAAGTGATGGCTCTGGGGAGCTCAGCCTCAGCACATGGAGCCGGCCTTTCTCATTGGGCAGGTGATGGCTCTGGGGAGCTCAGCCTCAGCACATGGAGCCGGCCCTTCCCTCCAGCGGGGGCGGCTTCCGGGTGCCCCGCGGTCGCCG